AGCAAGAGGACAGCTGTGGCAAAGGGCCCAAGGCTAAAACAAGCTTGGCAAGATCGAGGACCCAAAAAAGGACCCAGGTGGCTTGACTGAAGTAGTTGGTGGGGGAGGGACAGATTTCATTTTCAGTGGCATCTGACGTGTGTTTTTAAAAGACGACTTTAGAGAATGGATTGTGGGAAGAATGGATTGTAGGCAGGTAAACACCAAAACAGGAAGACCAGATAAGAGGTATCACAGTTGTCCATGCAATAGATGCTGGCTGGGTGCGGTGGCTCACGCCTGGAATCCCAACAGTTTGAGAGGACAAGGTGGGGCAATGGCTTGAGGCCAGGAGTTCGAGACCAACCTGAACAATATAGCAAAACCCAGTATCTACAAAAAAAAATTTTTTTTAATTAACCAAATGTGGTGGTGTGCGCTTGTAGTCCCAGCTACTTGGGAGACTCAGGTGGGAGGACTGTTTGAGCCCAGGAGTTCGAGAATCCAGTGAGCTGTGATCATGACACTGTGTTCCAGCCTGGGCAAGAGACGCTGTCCCTTAAAAACAAACAAACAAACAAAAACAGAGAGATGCTGGTTGCTGGACTGTGGTGATGGCCATAAAGGTGGTAAAAAGTGACTTTCTCTTGGAAGTTGTCAGCCAGATGTAACAATGAATTGGATATGAGGGAAAGATCAGAATCATGAAAGACTCTCACGTTTTGACTTGAACAACTTGGTAGGTAGTGGTGCCATTTACTGAAACATGGATGGACACAGCAAAGGATTTTTTTTTTCCAGAGTGGGGGATTAATAGGAAAAGAAGAATAAGGAGGAGAGAAAAGGAATAAAGGGTTAAAAACACAGGACCAATGCTGGGGAGACATAGGGTAGCCTCCTGCAGAGTATCACCACAAGCATCAGGGCCTCAGGCTGTGTGTCTCTGATCTGATGTTTTGATGTGTTTGAATGATCGGGAAGGTCTGATTGTTATGGAATACAAACAAACAATTAAAAATTAAAATAGAACCACAGCACTGCTGAGCAATAGCTTGTTGGTAAACAGCAGCAGCTAAAGGCAGAGGATGCAAAGTCTGTTTTTCCTTCCCTAACCTAAGCACAGCACGCATGCGAGGCCAGTACTCTTCGGTGGTGGGTCCGTGGTAACCACCTCCCTTTCCATACACCCCCTCTCTGTCACAAAGGAAACAAGAGACTGTTTGGTCTGTTTTCTAATAGAGCTCACACTTTTAAAGCACTTCAGATAATTGGTGATGACAGCTCAGTGAGGTGAACAGGAAAGATGCCATTATTCCTGGTTTTAAAATGAGGAATCTGAAGAGTCAGGGCCACATGGGTGATAAGTGGTGGAGCTGGGACTAGAACCTAGATCTTTGAACACCTAAGTCAGTGTGCTTCCATGGCCCACGGCTACCCTTCTTCCCAAGCCTGATTCTGCGTCACTGTTGGCCAGCCCTCTATGTTTTCCATGCCTGTTCCCCACCTCTTTGGAACCTTCTCTTGTCAACTCCTCCTTCTTCCTGTCCTTAGCACCCACCTTTCCTCACTCCCTTCCTTCCTAACATGAACTCTATGATTCATCCTTTCAATCTTTCCCTTGCAAATTTAGTAAAACCCCCATGATGGTACATCCTGTGGCAGTGTGAAGTTAGCAGCCTGTACTTGGTAGTTGGCCCCCATCTTCCACCCAGCCCCTATCCTCATTTCACTAACCTAGTTATAACAAGGCTCTCCATTTCATGCAATTCAGTTTTTGGATCTCACATATAATGTTGTGGTGGGGTTTGACTCTACCATCAGCTCCTTTTTCCTGTGCTCTTTCATCATATCTGGAGGACTCACTGTTCATCTTCTCAGCTTCAGCCCTCAGGCTGCTGGGCACTGCTGCAGGAAATCACCAACCGATCTGATGAGGCCAATTCCTCCCCTGCTGGGCCACAGGAACTGCTCTGAAATCCTGCTCTACCTCTGGTTTGCTTTTCTACACTCTGTTTCAAGTCTCTCTGTTCTCTTCAAATCTTGGATTTCTTGCTGGCTTTAAGGAGACGATGTAACTTCCTACTTCACAGAGATAATAGAAACCATTACATGGAAACAACGTCAATTTCTGGCCATGAGATCTATACAGACTTTCCTGCTTTTGTGTTCATGCTTTTGCTTCCAGTTACAGTGGAGGACATGGTCCCTCTCAATTTCAACATCTTTCCATCCACCCGTGCTGTGGATCCCATCTTCTTCTGTCTTTTAGCTTGTGTGTTTCCAACTTTCCTCTCAATAAGTTCGTGTCTCTTTTAAAACATAAAACAAAAACCCCTCCTAGACCCCCCTTGCCTGCCCTTGCCATTCTTTTGTCAATCTCCATTTCTTCATCATAAATTTCTAATCTTTACCATATTTTCAACTCTGACTCACCCTTCCACCGCCTACCAAACCTGGCTTCCTTCCCCAATGCTGTAAGGACACCTGTTCCACTGACTAAGGTCACCAACAATCTCAATGTTGCTACATTTGAGAATGCTTCTGCATCTGATTTTTCTCTCCCAGAGGCATGGCATATAGTCAGGCATTCCATACTCACTGTTGGGACAGAGGCTTGACTTTGATGGCACTATTCCCACTAGGTTTCCTTCTAACTAGCTGACCGGACCTTCTTTTATGCTCAGCTCTGCAGCCTCTTCCTCTACCCAAATATTAAATTTCCTTTTCTCATCTGACACCCTCCTCAGATGATCCTGTCCATATCCTGTGCACTGATAACTCCAGGAACTCAAACTACTGCCAAGAATTTCCTACTGAGTATCAGACTCATGGACCCATCTGCCCACTTGATATCCCCATGTGATAATAGGCCTCAAAACAAACACGTGCAAACCTGAATTTGTGATCTTTCCCCTCAACACTCCACTCTTCCTTCGATGAATAGAGCCTACCCCCGCATCCCCTATAAACATCCTCGGAGTTACCTGGACTCCTTATTAGTACTGTCATTCTTTCCTACTTAGCACCCATTCACCTTTGTACTGGGAATAGCTCTTCAAATTTCCTTTCCTGCTCACAGTGTATTTCCTCCAGGTGAGATTAATCCTACCCTTTAGCTCCATGGGTAAACATGTTACCCAGGACTAGCAAATAAGGCTCAATTCTAGGAAGTTTTCTAAAAATATTGAGAAGTTGCCTTCTTCTGGAGTTGCTAACCTCTGAGGATGTGAACCTAGAGCTGCCGGCAGCTATTTTGCCACCAGAAGGAGAGCTTTCCAGAGAGAGTGAAGCCATCACACCAGATAAAGAATTGGAGAGAGAGCTACTCTTGAAGACATCATCTGAACTCCTGGATCCAGCCACATATGAAGTATCTGATCTACCCCCAGGACTTTTCCTTCCCTTGAATCAATAAATTTTCATTTAGGCTTCAGCCAGTTTGAATGGGGTTGCCACAGGTACAGAGACAGCGCTGACAGATATATCATCCTTAGCTCCTCTCCTTCCTTTACCTCTCCCTAATTTCTCCTTGTCCAATCAGTCCCCAAGTCTTTTTGGTTCCACTTGCCGATTCACTAAATATCTCTGAAATCATTCCTCTTCAATCCATTCCAGCCATTACTTTAGGCCAAGCTATCATCTCTTACCTGCGCAACCACAGTGGCCTTCTAACTGGTAATTCGTACCCAGTCCCATCCCTTTCATGTCCTCTGATATGGTTTGGCTGTGACCCCTTCCAGATCTCATCTTGAATTCCCATATGTTGTGGGAGGGACCCGGTGGGAGGTAATTGAATCATGGGGGCAGGTTTGTCCCCTGCTGTTCTCGTGATGATGAATAAGTCTCATGAGATCTGATGGTTTTAAACAGAGGGGTTCCACTGCACAAACTCTGTCTCTTTGCCTGCTGCTATCCATGTGAGCCATGACTTGCTCCTCCTTGCCTTCCACCACGATTGTGAGGCTTCCCCACCCACATGGAACTGTGAGTCGAATTAAAACTCTTTCTTTTGGAAATTACCCGGTCTCTGTTATGTCTTTATCAGCAGTGTGAAAATGAACTAATACATACTCTTTACACAATAGTCAGCCTGATCTTAGTAAAATACAAATCTCAAAGTTCTTCATTGTTCCTCCTTGCCCACATAATCAAGTCCAAAATTGTTCACATGGCCCGAAAGTTCTGAATGAGCTGCCCCATGCCTTCCTTCCCAGCTTTATCTCATTCCATTTTTCCCCTAATCCCCTTTATCCCAGCCATGCTAGAAACTACTCCTAAACCTCAGCACCTTGGCAAATGCTGGTCCCACTGCTTGAAACAGTCTTCTTCCTCTCTTCTTAACCAATTCCAATTTCAATGCCATTTCTCTGGAAAAGGCTGCCATAATATATCAAACAAGGCCCCTTTCTTTCCTGAGACACCTCTCACACCTGGACCCCTTATACTCTATTCTTTGCCTTTTCAGCATTTGTCGTTGTCCTCACCTAATTAAGCATTTAATGATTTACTGAAGGTCAGATTCCCTCCCTAGACTATAAACTCCCTGAGGACAGGGACCATGGCTGTAGTGGTCTGATAGTGGTCTGATAGTGGGCTGATAGACCATGGCTATAGTGGTGTTTGTTCACCACTATAGCTGATCATGGGGCCTGACATAATTGACTGATTTTCCTTTGTTCTGGACTGGAGGGACAGGCAGAGGGGAAACTTAAAGAAAAATAGAGATGTTTTCCAGGCTTTTGAGCAGGTTTACAGATTTCATTTTAGATGAAAAGCTTTACATTTCAGCAGTTGACCATCTGTTATACCATTAAGGCAGTATCTCTTGCAGGTGAAGATACAGCAAAAAGTTGGGCAATTTAAAAAAAAAAATCTGGTTTATGTAAAGAACAAGATCTGAAAGAGAAAAAAAAAAAAAAAACCAAAAGAAAGCTTCCCTGTTTTCTTCAACAAGGAGTTTCATGAAAAAAATAATAAAAGGAGAAAAGAAGCCATGCTAGCTTAAAGAGCTTTAAGGGACATAATACTAGATGCAATGCAGGGCCCTAGGTTTGAGTTTGGTTTGGACAAACCAACTGGAAAGGACATTTTTGGGGACGAGCAGGAGGAGTTTGAATACAGACTGGGTTTTAGATAAGATGAAAATTTATTGGCAAGGAAAGATGGAGATCATTAACTAAAAAAAGCAGGTTACAAACAGCATGTACAACATGATCTCATTTTGGTAAAAATATGTATATGTATATTTATACATGCATAGAAAAAGCTTTAAGGATATACACACAGGTGTTAACAGTGGTAATCTATGGGTGGTAGGAATATGGTGCATCATTTTCTTATTTTTCTTTATCTCAATTTATAACTTTCGACAAGGCACAAATGCTGCTTTTGTAATAATAAAAATTAAAACATGAATTTATTTTAGAAAATTTTAAAGTAGGCTTAAGCAGACCCAGATTTTCATTGAAAGCTGTCCAGGACATTTTTTCTGTGTCCTCCACCTTAGAAATGAAGAGTGTGTCCCAACTTCTGAGTAGGTCTCCGCATGAAGGATTAAAAATTTTCGCAGTCCTTGAACTAAAAGTGAATCAATCAGATATTGAGCATGCATACATTTTCCACTGGCAATGTCAGTAAAGGACCTTCCCATCAGTAGCAGGAAAGGTTGCAAGAAAGTAGCCCTTACAGGAGGTGCTCACATAATTACCAGGCAACTTCTACGCAGTCATTTCCCACTCTAGTGGAAAAATCAGCAGTTCATCAACTGTTAAGGCTAGTAAGTATGTAGAAAATTTACAGAATGCTGAGTTCCAATGTTATCTGTGAAGTGAAGGCAAGAGAGTTTTGAAGAAAACCGTAAAAGGCTAGAAAGGTCACTACTGGACACTATTAAGCTGAAGATCAAGGATTTGTAACCAAGCCCCAGCCTTATCCCAAAGGAATTGGAAAAGTTCCCAGGCATGGTGGTCCTCATATTCTTTAACTGTAAAATTAGGTCTAGATAAAGTCTAACATTTTTATTTGCTTCACAGCATGGTTCATTACATAACGAGATATTGTGTTGCACACTAAGTCACAACACTAAATACATCAAGAGAATTTTGCTAATATCCTCTTTCTGGATTCTTACACGGTGGAGGAAGTTGCCTGTAGAGGGCACTAGTCAGTTAATAACGTCTGAATCAGTTTGACTAAAAAGCAAGAAGGGACCTTAAGGATCATGTAGTGGATCCCTCTCTTACAGAGAAGAAACTGAACCCCAGTGAGATTAGGGGACTTGCTCAAAAATCACACGGTTGGCATTTTCACAGAGCTGAGAAGGAAAAAAAAACCTCTGGTTTATGTTAAAAAACAAAAACAAAATCCAAAAGCCTTACAAAGGCCTAGAAGTTGAATTGCGTTTAGTTGTTCTTTTAATGAATCACCCACCACTAAAAATAATAAAAAGATTACCATCACCATAAAAAAGGAGGCCATCCTAGGAAACCTACTCTTCAAGACACTAGGAGACGATTAATTCCAGTGTCACTCCCAGCCACAGGATTATTCAGTGAAATTCCCTTGGCCCATAACCATTTTGTTGATAACTTTTGCTGTCTAAACATCCCTTTGCCAAATTTACACAGCACTCAAGTTGCACTGGGGGACAGGATGGTATATAAGAGAGGCGACGGACTTGTTTTTCTTCCTCGCAGTCCCATCAATAGCAGTTAAGTGTCAACTAATGGATTGGATCTACTTCATTCACTGGTTAAAATTAGGCAATCAACTGGACTGGCAATGTGGCTCCCTGAGGCTGGTGTCTGGTTATTTCAGTCACCTTACGATCAGATTAGATCTATCCACCTTGCAAGATTGCCCCTTCCTTGCCAACATACTAGAAACCAGTTTATCTGTTCAAATACTACACATGGACCCAAGCTCTGTAAAACCATGACTAGGATGTTTGATGCGTTATCTTTGGGTTTTTCTGTTTGTTGTTGTTTTGAGAAATAGACATGTAGGTGGTAACATGATGGAGTAGAACCGTCAACTTTGGAGTCCACTAGACAAGGCTTAAATTCTGACTCCACTCGTGTGTCAGCTGGGTCTCCTCACTACATTACTTGACTCTGAGTATCAGATTTCTCATCACAGTATTTGCCTCACAGACTGAGGATTAAAGCAGAAAGTTCATATGAAGTGCCTAGATCAGCACCTGGCACTGTATAAGTGAGTCTCCCACTTGAAGAATATGGCCGGTTTTCAGAATTAGGTGAGAGTAAGCAGTAGAATTCCACCATAATGAATTCAAGGTCATGGCTATTAAAGGAAGGTATTGTCTTTAAAACATCCCATGAAAAATAGCTTAGATAAACTTTCTGGTAGATAAGCTTCAGAAAAGTAGTTTTTAACCTACTCCAAGCTAGTGCCATGGTGTTCTCATTGTTCCTCTACTTTTATAAGCAGTGACATTACTAAATTACAGCCTAAATTCCCCAATGCATTTTAGTGGTGATCCAAGAGCATGCTCAGTTAAGAATATGGGTGAAGGATTTAGGAGAGTTAGCCACCTCTCCGTACACACAATATTTCTAGGGTGCACAGAGAACACTTCTGCTTCCTTTTAAACCCAGTATTTGCTTATAGTTTTCAGAAAGAATGAGGTGGTCCCGAAAGGTATGTGGGTCTGAGCACAGAGGCACCATTGTGATGGCATTTTTTCCTAGTTTTACACAGTTGATTTACACCCACTGAGTGCATAGTATGTCTAGGGCACTGGTCATGTATTATTTCATTCAAACTCTACCACAACTTGATGAAGGAGTCACTATTATCAACTTCCATATATTGATGGAGAGGCTGAGGTTTGGAGAAAGTATGTTGCTTGCCCAGGCCATGCAGGAGTCAGTGTGGTGAAGTCAGGATGGAGCCTGGCGGCACATCTGAGACCCTCCTCCTTCCTGCTGCCTCTTTAGTCTTTTTTTTTTTTTTTTTTTTTTTTTGTATTTTATTGGCTTTTCTGAATGTGGTAATAATGGGCAAAAGGGCAGGGGCAAAAAAAAAATCAAGGAATTAAGGAATTCACTGAGATCTAAAACTTATTTATATCCACACAGTCTATGTTAACATGGCTTTACTATTCCAGGATCTTCATCAGCATAACTTTACTGTTCCAGAAGACTCTTCCTCAGGAAGATAACAGTTACAAATAAGTGTATTGTTCATTCCAGGAATTTCCCCAAAGACGCATCAACTCATCAATAGAAAGCATCAAAGGAAAGTTTTAAAATTTGAGCTTTTCTGAGTCTTTGCTCTCAAAATCTTCACCTTGTATTGCTTGCCAATTCTAAGTGATTAGATTATGGTCCTCACCTGACCCTAGCCAGACCTCCCTGGCTCCCACGCTAAAAGATACACATTGGAAAAAATCCAGACTTCACAATCTCAAAAATATTCCCAACTTTGCTACATCCCCTACCTGCACCCCGAGACTCTACTGGGATTCTTTGTAAACAGTGTTCTCCATTACCTTCAAGCCTTCAGTTCTCAACTGAAGGGGATGATTTTGCCTCCCAGGGGATATTTGGCCATGTCTGGTAACATTTCTTGTTGTCACGACTGGGGCTGCTCCTGGCATCTGGAAGGTAGAAGTCAGGAATGCTACTAAACATCCTATAATGCACAGAACAGCCTTCTCCCCCAATAAAGACCATCCAGAATCAACAGATTATTTTAATAGTATTTTGGAGAGCCACTAATTAGCAATATCTCAGTTAGTGCTATGAAGAAGCTTCCCAAATTCTGAACGCTTCTGGTTATGTTTTTACTCTCTTGATTGCCAGTGTTCTTGCAGGTTCATGAGCCCCAAATCCATGAAGCCCATCCTTAAGAAATTTCATTCCCAGAGGCTAGACTGCAGACATTTACCTACCCTTCTTATTATGGGGTTTTCCATCTCCTAAGAGAAGATCACTTGGTGGCTCAGTTATTTTTTTTAAGACAGGGTCTTGCTCTGTTGCCCATGCTGGAATGCGTGGTGCAATCATGGCTCACTGCAGCTTTGACCTCCTGGCTGTCAGGTGATCTTCCCACCTCAGCCTCCCAAGTAGCTGGGATTGCAGATGTGAGCCACTGCACCCAGCCAAGTTATCTTTAGTTTCTACATTTTGTATTGTGTATCAGCTGTTTGAAATGATGAACCTGGGTCCACAATTTTTCTAGAAGGTACTCTTAACTATCTTAATAATGGCAGTGTTCCTGAAGTTGTGAAGATGACTTTACTGAACAAGAAGCATGTTTTCCTTACAGACAAACAGCACTAATTCATATTACTTATAAAAGATACTACCTCTTGAAATTAGCACTTTGAATTCCACCTTTTCATCTAGATATTTCCACTGGTAACAGAATTTCCCTGGAAGTCAGTGTTTGCAGTTATAAGATCAATTTGTGACCCAAAAATATAAGTGGTCTACCTTTTATCCTGTTTGTGATGAGTGAAAGGCAAAAGTAAACAGAAAAAAGAAACCTGATATGACTTCACTCTTGAAATATTGTGCAATGATTTTCTGAAGGTAAGTAGCAGGCTTTGTATCTTGAGACCCTAACGAAGTTAAACAGCAGTTCTGACTCTGGGCACAGAAGTCACAGCTTACAGTGCTGGAATGAGGCCCAGGATGATGTCATCCTGGTCAGAGACCTTACCCGTAACCCCACAGGGCATTTGTATTATGCAGTGATGTCTCTGTCACCAGGAACTTCACTGAGCCTTCCTGAAGCTCTCAAGCATGTCATAGAAATATTGTCTATCTCAAACTTTGCCCTAGAAAGGAACCAGGAAGTTTTCCTTTTTAAAAGTTCTTGGGCTGATACATGTCTTGAGTCATGTGGAGATTCATTCAGATCCCCGGAGTTGGTATAAAGATTTTTAAAGTGAGAACATTCGAGCTAAAGAAGATATGGAAAGAAGTCTAATCTCAACTGCACTTACCTGACTAAGACAGGGCCTCCAGAAAATACTGCTGCCGTTAACCGCCATCTGAGGGAGTTTCCTGGAATTTAGCTGCCAGGGAGACAGAGTGTCCATTGGTATTAGCATCAAAAACCTCAACAGAACTTTCCATGCCTTCTCATTAAAGCCCTAACCCCTTTCCCCTTGTTAAATTTTGTATATGAACCCTTTAATCTCAGGCTATTGAGTGAGTTATTATCTCTGAGAACTCCTGTATATGTGTAAATCGCCTGTCTTTTCTCCTGCTAATCTGTCTATTGTCAGTTAATTCATGGGTCTTCAACCACTGGAACTAAATTGGATAAGGAAAAGTTTTCTCCCCACAGTTTTGGTGACAAAGATGGGATGGCTGTGACTCTCTGCTCCTCCAGAAACTACAGCTAAGATTTCAGGATCTCTGACTATGCTGACAAAGATAAATTTCTTAGCAGCCAGGTTCCCAGATCTCTGCTCAGAATGCCGTAAGGTGAGGGTGGTAAGAGCATCTTTTTGTCTTTTCTTTCCGAGATTTAGATTTGCGGGAGAAAACACTCAGAACTTATTCTTACTGTATTGTGACTTGGTCTGAATACCTTTTAAAATGGATCTTTTCCTTCCCAGGGATAGCTACTGTGTCCTTTCTGTCTCATTTTGTGTCCTGATAGTTTGGCTTGGATTCAGTCAGAGTGCTCACTCTCTGGCCTTCCACATGCTGTGGGGTGCGGATTGTCTGGTCTTTGCTCAGAAACAGCCAATTTCAGGTTGGGACTCAAGCATTTGTAGTTGGCTGGAGAGAAATTTGGGTATCCTGGGCATCCCATTTTCAGCTGGCATTGTGCTGACTGTTGCCAATGCTAAGGGTGTTTGTCTAAGTGTAAATAAAGGGTCTCGGCCCATAAAAGCCCTTATTTTCTTTTTCCTGTTGTCTTGCTAGTGGACAGAAGTCCCATCTCAGTATTCCTGCCCAGAGTCATGGATTCACAGGTTCATGATCAAAGTCATATCATTTTTTTATAGGCAATTGGAGACAGGAGTTTTCACAAGTATCATTCTTACTGCCTATAGCAATGATGATCTTTGCTTTCTTTCTCTTTGGCTGTCTTTGGAGATGATTTTGGATCATGGGAGCTGCATCTTCTACACTCTCTTTGGCTGTCTTTGGAGATGATTTTGGAGCATGGGAGCTGCATCTTCTGTACCCCGTATGGGAGTGTTTCCTGTGCCCACGATTAAGCCATAAAATAGGTTTATTCATTATGAGTCACATTTTGGAAAACGTATACCTTTGGAGATAGTAAATCATCAATGGCCAGACAGCAGATCCTTTGATTTGGAACAACTTTTAAGTTTGAGAGGATTTTCAGAAAGCTCTCATTCTAAACAAATATCCTGTTACCAATATGGGAGTATCAGAATGAAAGGACATTTAAAAAAAAAGTGTCACAGCTAGCCTGAAAGACTCCCTTAACAAAACTAAAGAACAGAAATCAGATCTAGAACAAAACTTGAAACTCACACTCACCATAAACTCTCCTCCTCCCCTGCACCATCACCTTCCTCCTGCAAATGGCCCAGTTGGAAGCTGATATTCAGGGCCTGAGAGGAGCTATTAAAGATGTTTTCCCTTCGGTCTTCCCTCCCACTCTGAAAGTTAATTGGGCTAAAGTGGAGCAATGTACTCAGAGGAAAGGAATACATTCTAAAGTCTTTGTTGAATGACTTATAAAAAACATTCCAAAGACACATAGCTCTAAATCCAGAGTCCTGGATCATTGAAAATCTTTTGATTTCCACCTTAGTTGGAAATCTTATCTCTAATATAAAGAAACAAATTAAAAATACTGTAGTTGGATAGGCAGGCCAATTCCTTTATGCTATTATTGAGGCTATTTGCTATGGTATGAATGTTTGTTCCTTCCAAAACTCATGTTGAAATGTAATTGCCATTGTAACAGTATTAAGAGTTAGGACCCTTAAGAGATGATTAAGCCATCATGGGTGGTATTGGTTCCTGTATAAAAGCATGAGTATGACCCCCTCTTGTCCTCTCTCTTGCTTTTCCACCTTCCACCATGGGATAATGCAGCAAGAAGGTCCTTGTCAGATGCCAGCAGCATGATGTTGGACTTCTCAGCCTCCAGAAATGTGTGACAATACATTTCTGACCACCTTTGCAAAATTATAACAGTGAGAAAATTGTGACAGTGAAAGAGATCAGACCTAACTGATTCCATCTTGCCTTTAACCTCCAAATTGACCTTGTTCATTCCTGGGCATAGACCAAGCTAACTATAGGAGGAATTTAGTTTATAGGTTAACTTTGAAACATAGATGATAACAGCTCTTTCCTGAAGCAAATCTTCTTGTCTGGGGACCAGACCACCTTCTTAAAACTAACAAATTTGCCACAAGATTCAAAATTATGGTTCAGGATAGGATGCAGCCAAGATTCCTAACCTCCCCAGTTGCTCTTATGGATAAGAGAACTATTGTAAAACCTAAGATTAGTGTTCCAGATATCTTTCAGACCCTGCATTCTGATGGACCAGCTGGTGCCACCCAGACTGGTGATCTGGTTCAACCGGTTTTGCGATCCCATCCAGAAACAGAAGACAGCAAGAAGAACCCACTTGGATCCCCCTGTGATTTCATCTCTGACCCAACCAATCAGCACTCCCCACTCCCTAGCCCCTTACCCTTCAAATAATCCTTAAAAAACTCTAGTCTCTGAATTTGCAGGGAGATTGATTGGGGTAATAAAACTTGGGTTTCCCATTTAGTTAGCTCTGTGTGCATTAAACCCTTTTTCCTTTGCAATTCCGCTGTCTTGATAAATCATCTCTATCTCAGCAGCAGGTAGGAAGAACCCACTGGGCAGTTACAGTCTCGGATATTCTGTTATAGCAACACAAAATATACTAACACACTGTCCCCTAATTCTTTGAAGAATTAAAAATACTGCGCTCACCTTACTAATTAAGTCTTTACAAAGACAGGAATAGGACTCTAAGGATAACCCAAAGCCCACCTGTATTTCTTTTCAATCCCAAAGCCTCTCCTATTTATCTCAAGATGCTTGCTGATACTTTAAAGAAGTCAGGACATTAGAAAAGGAAAGCATTATCAAATGAGAAGATATATTTAACCTTCTCTATGTTATATTTGTATGGGTAAATGCTATGAATGTAAGTACTTCAGAAAGTATATGAGTTAAAACCCTCATTGTCAATATGTCCTAACATAATGTTAGTAGTCATAATTCCCATTATTATCTTAAATGTTTTATGTCATCAGAACAACCACATATCCTTGTCAATTGCATTATTTTTATAACAAACTCTCATCAAATTTTTAGCCATTGCCATTTTAAGTCTTTTTTCATTCACAGGGAGTTATTGTTTTATTCTGATGCTTTCTTGAAAGCTCTTACAATCAACTGTAAGGTAGAATGCATCATTTTAAGAAAAAGGAACATTTCAGAGACCCATGGAAATGACTGGTTATCCAAGGTGAAGGATTCTGATGGCTCTGCATAAATGACTTTGAGATCATACCACTGAACTGAGTAAGAATTTCCAGAATTCTAGTGGAGAGGCTGATGGGCTCATAAAACTGCTAACCCAAGATTGAGCAGAACAAAAATAAATTACCTGGGACTGAATGAACTGATGAAGATTGATTATAATTTTTATGGGTTTTATTTTTGTTTGGAACATTGCTGGTTCTTTAATATTCCATTTTCTGAATATAAGGAATTCCTTTCTCTTTTCTCTTAACCTATTTATAATGAACAACGATTTAGTAGATTATATCTTATAAACAAGAATGAAACATTTATATTTTTCTCCCTACCTAATCCCTATAGAATTCAGAAACTCATATTGAATATTCTTACTTTTATGGCAATACAGTTTTTTGCATAAGTTCCATAAGTACCTATTCTCCTTGTAACAGGACATAATTGAGGAAATTAGTTATATCACCAAGGCTTTAACTGAAATGTCATATTTGAGAATGATGTGCATATAAACAGACATGACCAGGCAGTTTTAAGGAAGTAAGGTTGACTTTATGGAGCCAGTGTTCACAAAGCTCTCTTAGCAAAACTGGCCTTCTACTTGGCTTACAGTGTCCTCAGCCTCACAAATGAGTAATGAAGATCACTTCCTGGCAGGCCCAGGAGCTTTAGAATGCTTTGGATACCTCAACAGGAGAGGATTTCACCCCAATCTATAGGTACCGCAGATAAAGTTCTGATGGCAAGTTCTTGGCTTGGCCTCCTAGCCAAGAAAGGCTTTTAAAAGTTCAATCTGAGATTCCTTATAAAAGTTCCAACAAAGCAAACTTCTAAAGGCCTGTGCGGCCAGTTACCGTTCTTGCTTCATTTATTAAATGATCAGGACATATTTAATGAGGCTAGGCTTATTTTGTAAATAAGAGTAATCTTACTTTATCTTTTATAAAAATGGAGGTGATTGTGGAGAGAAATTTTATGTTTCAATGGAAAATTATAACACCCCTTGTGAGTTAGCAGATTCTAGTTCTGTTCATTGTCTTTGAGCTATTTTTCGTCTCTTCTAAACTAGATTCTATCATCTTGCACATTTTGTCAGTAATTAACACTTTCATTTTTCCCCCACTCTCCTGACTTGTTGTCACTAAGAACTAGCACTGGCCATTTCTTGAAGCTCTGGGTGCTGAAGCTGGACAACTTGATAGACCTCAAAAGATTGATCACCACCACAACAATGTGGGATACCCAGAAAGTTTACCAGAACATGTGCATCTTCCATGCCCTGATCCAGCAAATAACCATTATTATGACATTCCCACTACCATCTTTACTAAAGAGGCTTCAGACTCAACATCTAGAAACCTTCTTGACGGGACTGGCTGCCTTCTATACTCAGAAATTGGTTCTACTCGGTTCCAACCTTTAATCTTTGTTTTTCTGTCCCTTTGCTGATCTCTTTCCTCACAATTTCTAACATAAATCACTCTCTACAGCAATAAAACTTGCTTTGTTTCTCTTTTTTGGTGAAATGTCCAGAATAGTTTCAGATGAAGGACATGTGGGGACCCACTTGGACCCCTAGACATGATATAAAGATAATTTTTAAATGAAAATGTTGGAGCTAAAGAAGATTCAGAAAGAAATCTTATCTGAAATTATCTTATCTGATAGAGTCTTCAGAAAATACAACTGCCATGGAAATAGACAGCCCATTTCCACTAGCATAAAAAAAAAGTCCAATAGAATCTTCCATACTTTCCCTAACCACTCTCCCTCCTTCTTGGTTAAGTTTGGCATATAACCTTTTTCCTCTGGTTAATGAGTGAGTTACTTATTACTGAGTATTCCTGCCTGTAAGTATAAATAAATCATGTCTTCTCCCCTCTTTTTTTTTTTTTTTTTTTGAGGCAGAGTTTCACTCTTGTCACCCAGGCTGTAGTGCAATGGTGCAATCTTTGCTCACTGCAACCTCCGCCTCCTGGGTTCAAGCTATTCTCCTGCCTCAGCCTCCCAAGAGGCTGGGATTACAGGTGTGTGCCACCACTCCCAGCTAATTTTTTTTTTTTTAATTTTTTGTAGAGATGGGGTTTCACCATGTTGGCCAGGCTGGTCTCGATCTCCTGACCTCAGGTGATCCACCTGCCTCAGCCTCCCAAAGTACTGGGATTACAGCTGTGAGCCACTGTGCCCAGCCATCTTTTCTCCTCTTAATCTGTCCATTGTCACTTAATTTGTGAACCCCCAACCACTGGATTCAAATTGCAAGAAGAAAAATTTTCCCCAAATAGTTTCCTCTCTGCTTACTGTCAGCAGCATTCACTGTCGTGACTACAAAATTATCCATTCCTGTATGTGTGTGTGCACATGCGCATGTGTGTATTTACAGAGACCTGGCAACCCAGTAGGTTGTGACTGAATGCCTTTAGGAATTTCCTTGGGGAATCAAAGCTTATTAAAGTGGAAACACTTCCCAGAAGATCAGAAATCTATCTTCAAACCAAGCTTGTTCCCCTGCTTATTGCATCATCAGACCAGGCAGCTTAAAATAAATAATCTATTCAAAGCGAACCAATTACAAAACTCACCTTTCAACTCCTAGTTTTGGGAAATGGACTGGAAGGACTCCTTCAATGGTAACTTGACCATGCTGTCTCCCTGATGACATCGTCTTGGAATGCTGGTAAACTTCTTTTAGTATACACTTTAGGGAGAAGACAGTTGCCTAAATTAATGACAATCCTTGACAGTTGTGAACTTTGGTGTCTGGTGGACTGGAATCCTCTCCTAACTCAGTCACTTTTTAGTTTTGTAATCTTGAGCAATCCTTTAGCCTTTCTGAGGCTGCCTCAGTTGTCAAGGTGGGAGAAATAACATTTAACTTGAAATATTTAGGAGGAGCATAAGATGAGATCAATGTATGCACTAGTTCTTTTCTTTCTGGCTTCTCTTTAAAGTGCTTTTGAAATTATTTGGGCCACAAAATTATTAATAATACTTTATAGGCAGCAAATGACACAGCTGTTCCCCCATTATAACACACACCATCCTCCAGTTACTTGATATTCTTCACCTATTTTCCTGCTTCCCTTATTCTGGAAAAAAGATTGTACACACTTTATATGGACAGAAAACAGTTTCTCCTATGAAAACCAAATAAAAAAGAAAAGTAGAATGTAATGTTTATTTCTGGCCAATTTCTAGATTTTAAAAGCCTTACCTCTTTGATTTCATGAAGGTTTTCTAGCGTTCCCTTTAGCTTGTTTCTGATACGGAGTCTGGATCCCTTTCTCTGTCTTTTTCTTGCATGTCTAAATCTCATTATAGCTGGCTCTACCACCATGACCTGAGCCACCCTGAGTCTGGACTGACTGCATCGGGCAGTAAACAGGCCAAGATCTTTCTGGTCAGAGCTTGGCAGCACGAAATGAGGAAGATGCCAACATTGTTGCCAAATGGATGGCTCATATTTTCCATCTTTGTCTTTGTGGATGCCAGTCATGTGTTCCCTGTGGTGCCCAAATTGTGCAACAGACTCTGGAGGCTCTGCGCCAGCACAAGGGTCTAGGATGGGGTTAGGCCTTCCTGATGGGCATAGGCCTGGATTGAGCCAGTGGATATATGTTCAGCCTGAATAATCAGCTATGGTGGGCTCGACAATGTCTTGGTTGGGTATATGAAATCAGAAGCGAAGGCTGAGAGCGGCCCTACGAAAGGCAGGATGGATGGGTCAGAAGGGGGAACTTGGGTTGGTGCTGATTGTAGAGGTGAGTATGGCCACCAGGCTAGGCTCAGAAGGAGAGAAGTTGAGGAGTCAGGTGAGGCCACAGCTTGGATATAGCTAAAGACAATAACTAAGATCATTCCAGATGCTTCCCAAGGGAGATGTGGTACTGATGGAGGCTTCCATTCACTGAAGCACGGCTTACAGTTTCTCTCAGCAGCTCCACTATGGGGAAATCAATCTACCTGTTTTCTCTACGACCTGGTATGCGGTGGGCCAGGGCAAGAAAAGAGGGATACTGGTTCCATTGGAACAAAAGCTGAGAATTCTTTGGATCAGGGCCACTGAGTCTGGGTAAACAGTGCTGTCTCCTGAGCTGAACTCTGAGGAAAATCTAGATTTCTGTTCATTCACAGGGCTTGGAGAAAGGTCCCTGCCATGCGATATCTAATCAGAATGTCAATATGAGAAAATTAGTGATTTAGGGAAAGTGTTCTTCAATTTACATCTGTATCCATGTGAGAAGGAAAGAGGAAGAGGAAGAGGAAGAAGAAGAGGAGGAGGAAGAGGAGGAAGAATCACTGTCCTAGAGTATATCAACAATTGTAAAACCCCTCTGAGGTCCCTAAATCAATTTATTAGCCCCTGATCTGGAGCTTCTCTTGACCTGTAGTTGGCCCCTCAACCTGGTTTGTGACTTACAGAACCCTAGGGATGGCGTATAGTGGGCTAGTGGGAGGAGAGCAGGTGAATGATGGGGAGGCACTACCATGAGATCTTCAGCCTCCTGTTGAAGGGGTACATGTCTTTCAGGACCCCCACATCTTCCAGAACTCTTTCCAGAACTTATTCTGAAACTCTTGTGAGTCCTCTAGGCATCCCTAGGAAGGACGTTTCTGGTCTAGGTAGCAGGTGAGATCCTCCCTTTGCTGGAGAGATATGAAGTCAGGAATCTTCTATGACCTCTTTGGTAGTAATGTCCACACAGAGAGTAAAACGAGGTTGTTGGATTGCAGGAGTCAGGGCTTGGATGTCCCGGAAGAGTGCCATATCTTTCCTTAGAGCTGCTTTTTCTTCTGATTCTGAGGTGGCCATCACTGGCCCCAGACTCTGTGGCTCAGCCATGTCCCAACAAAGTGTCATTCTAGAAGGAGAGGCAGCCTTCCTGAATGACTACATTCTAGTTCCTGAAGGCTGCCAAGCCCCCTGGACTTTTTCTTGATTAACTTTCCTGAGACTTTAGGACACATTATATGTACTAAGTACATAAATTAAAAGTCTGCATGTAATAGTCTTTTACTGGGCAAGTAAGTCTTAGTCTCAATGTGGAAAAATATTGCCCTACAGTACATCTGAAAAAAAACCACAAGCAAACCTGAGGCTAAAACAAACAAACACCCTTGGCCTCTTCAAACTTTGGCTATACACAAGAGACCTTGCAATTCTCAGCAGAAATGTCTTGTGCACATCAAAGCAAGATATAGGTGCTTAAAGCTTGTCATGGATACTGGAATACCTTCTGAATGTGAGGTTACGTGCAATGTAGGGTGAGGGGAAATGTATAGTATCTCTGGCCCAGGTGAAAATGACCTCATCTATCTGTATCATCTCCACTCACAAAGTGCTTCTTAGATTGAATTATCCAGGTGATTGCTTTATCTCTCCACCATGCATTCCATGTATAAAATTATCTTAACATTAAACACTGTGCTATTCTTAAAAATGGAACCCAAGCTCTTATAGCATCTTACAAATCTATAGTTCAATTTGTACTTCCTAGAATTTTTTTTTATAATGTCGCTTTTTAAAAAATTCTCAGAGTGTTGATTTGTGAGGCTGAGCTCCCTCAGGAATAGACTGACCTCCAGCAACTGCTCATTCCACCCCTAGTAGGAGCTTGAATAATGACTGAGTGACAAAGTGTCCCGTTCAGTTATTATTCAACTATATTAAATTGCTAAAGTTGGTAATTGGAGCATATCTTATTACAAAGGCAAAAGTTCAACATTTTTCCCCAGGCACAATAGGCTTGCACATTTGAAAACTTCTGGTCTGGTAAGGAATAAGATGTCAGGGCATGGAGTATGCAACAAATTAAACAGGGGAAAATATATTAACCAAACCCAGGCACAATTACCAAGCATTACTTTGAAGATATTTACCAATCTCAAGCTCTTATAATAGGGATGATGGGAGAGATAAAGTAGAAGGGGATCTTGAAAATAAATCAGTATTCCCAAGCTCTAGGAGGCTGACACCATTGAAAAACTGTCATTTAAAATATACTAGGGGCTAATAATAGAAGGTAAATACAGGTTGTTTACAACATACTGTTTATCCACATTGGTTGGTGCTCATGCTATATCAATTATTGAATATTTTGAAACCTGATTTTATTAAAACTCATTTGGATCCATAGTTACAGGCTATGTATTGGAACTATCATTTGGGGTCTGACTGAGATGTCCAATTATTTCTAAAATGGTACTGTGCAGAAGGAGCAGTTTTACTGAGATAATAGGAGCTTTGGGTACCTGCATGAATATGGTCACACCAAGTTACTGCTTCAAAGAACAAGAAGTGAATACTGTGAGAACTGCAGAGACCACAGCCTATAGTGGTATTCCCCAAATGGGTCTGATCAGAAGACTCATCTGGGGGTAGTTGTTTAATAACTTAGATTCCCAGGTACCTTCTCTGGAGGTTATGATTACTAGGTCTGTCTAGGGTAGGCCTAGGAATCGGTATTTTTGACAGTAGTCCCAGTGATTCTTTTGGTAAGAGAAATTTGGGAAATAACTATTGACATTCATAATACTACCATTCATTCATTATTTTAATTATTTCACAATTACTATGGTATTTTTCAAAGTATGAGCCTGGATTTCCCACATAAAATCACCTGGGCTGTTTGACTAAAGTTCTGGGCTGGAGCCCCATTCCAAACCTACCAGATAGATCTCCAGAGATAAGATCCAGAAATCTGCACTGCAAATGAGCATCCCTAGTGGTTCTTAGGTAATAAAGTTTGGGAACACTTGGAGTGTGTGTCAAGCACATCTGTGTTTCTTTGAGCTGCCCATTCTCATTCAATAGGCAACAAACACTTCATTTAAACACCTAAGGCACGAATCAGTGAATGACTTGCGTAGAGGTGATGTAAAGTGTGAAGGGAGAGTGGCAGCTCTTCCTGCTTTCAACCAGCCATCCACAGGCTTGTGAAAGCAAGAAGGGAGGCTACCCTGCAGACAGAGCAGCCAGGTTTTGGGGCCCATGAGAGAGGCAAGTGAGGCCCAAGTCCTTTGAGCCTCTGGGGTCTGTGGATGTGGCCAACCAACACCTGGCTGGAAATAGTCATGCAAAAGCCCCACGACCTCAGGGTCAAGGGCTAGGGCACTGGTGAGAGCTCTCACTCGGAATTTCCTGCTAGAGCACTAGACCTGCAGCACATAAATGTACTTTTCTTCTTTCTTCTCGCATTTCCTTAGTTTTGTTTGTGGAACGGTAATGGAGGCTTCCCAGGCATTGTTTCATTCTGACACCATAATAAGGTCTGTTCCCTATTGAGGTTCAGAAGCGTATGGAGTGTTCATTGTTCCTGTGGATTTTTTCTGATGCACAATTGTGTTTAAAATAACTTGTCCAAAGTATGTCTGGAAAATAATAAGTAAATTTATTTTAAGTAAATGTTGGCAGGTGATTCCAATTCTGATTTTCTTTGATTGCTCATGCAAATGAAAATTTAGGTGAATGCCCCTCTGGTTTCAAATAGTAAGAGTAACAATAACAGTAATAAATAAGGTACTCAAGAACTTTGAGGGGTTGTAACCCTAGCATAGGATTTTGAGTAAAACATCGGAATGGACCTCACTTTCTTCATCTGTAAAATGGGAATAATGAGACCTGCCATAGCTACCTTACTGGCTTGCTGAAAGTCCGGTAATTCTATAGTACTGATGCTTGGTAAACTATATATAAACTTTTTACTTTATACAAACGTTGGTTGTTGGGTTTAATAAATTTTTTTCTTGATACTTTTTTGTCCTCTGGCTTCAGATGTCATTGAAACATTTTTAGACAGTATGAGTCAACCTAAAATAAAGCACTGAAAACTCACAGGAATTTGCGTAAAAGGTGCTTATCGTTGCAATTCCCTCCATTACAGAGATAATTGCTTGCACCAAGATATTTTATTTGTTAAGCTCTGAGAAGGCGGAATTATGATCCAAATAGCAAAGTTCCAGTGGCAAATGAAAGGCACTTGGAAACTATGGTGCATTGTTCTGTTCTTCTGGAAGGCAAAACACTGCCGGGACAAGGACGGAGCCATTCCAAGTGGGTGATGAAATTTACTTTATTGACATTATCAATAAGGAAGTATTTATGGGAAACAAACATGAAGTGTAGCTCACACTTACAGGATTTGGCAGGTAAGCAAAGCGAAGTGAGGTGTCTAATCATGAGGCCCAAACCTTTGAGCTTGCTTGGCATTGATTTCAGCTCTGGACAGCTACATGGGCTTCAGGTCATTATCTTCTTCCATGAAGCCTCAGCTTTCTCTGGCACAAAATGGACATAAAGCTCTCCAGTACACTGTAAGATCATAGAAGATAATATTTTGCACTTGAAGTTAAATATCACACATAGTTTATCCAGTTACTAGGTAATAAATATTGCTTCTTTCATGTGGGTTGAAATCCAGAAAGGTACAGAATAGAGTTAGAAAATGCCAAGAGGAACACAGGTCTCTTGAATATTTTGGCTGTATAATGCAAATATCTTACTTTTTCTTTTCTTTTTCAAGGATACCCTATTGTAAGATCATCAAAAGGAAAAGAAAAGTACCCCTCTTTAGGTATGTAGATGAAAAGGAGCTTTATCATTCCAAATCACCCTCTTTCCACTTCCCGGAATCTTATGAGAACGGTGAAGACTGGTACATCAAATGCAAGTTCATAAAATAATTATGGCCATGTCTTAAATTCATGCATGTTATTACAAGTTGATGAATCATTGCTCGTTCCTGCAGAATTTTTTCAACTGGAAAAAAAATGTTAATATATTGATGGTTAGAGTTGCCAGATTGACAAATCCAGAGAACAAAGGACTTTTCTTTTAGGATTAGGTAGGAGTCATAGCCTGTTTAAAGCTGAAGGAAACTTTAAAACAATCAGTTTATAGATGAGAAAGCTGGTGCAAAGATACAGGTAGTAACAGTAATAATAATAAACATTTATTGTGTTTTACATACTAGATTTGTACTCAGTGATTTACATGCATTATTTCATTTAATTTTCAAAACAACCTTGGAAATAGGTGCTATCACTAATGCTGTGTTAGAGATAGGGAAACTGAAGTTTAGAGAGATTAAGCCACTTGCTCAAGGCTAAACAGCTTGTTGATTCTCCTGAGCTGCCTTGATGAGAAGTACCATTCATTCATTCAAATAATTAATTAACATTTACTGAGCACATATTATATGTCACACGTTGTGCTTCACACTGGGAACACAAAGGTAAACCAACAAGATATGGTCCCATCTTTGCAGTGTGTGCAGAGCAGTGAGGGAGACAGACATATATCAACTGTCATATCAACACATAATTACAAAGCAGAACCAGTAGGTTTTGTTTGTTTGTTTTGAGACAGAGTCTCACTCTGTTGCTCAGGCTGGAAGTGCAGTGTCATGATCTCGGCTCACTTCAACCTCCGCCTCCCGGGTTCAAGCGATTCTCCTGCCTCAGCCTCATGAGTAGCTGAGACTACAGGCCCATGCCACCACACCTGGCTAATTTTTTGTATTTTTAGTAGAGACAGGGTTTCACCATGTTAGTCAGAATGGTCTCAATCTCCTGACCTTGTGATCCGCCTGCCTTGGCCTCCCAAATAAACCAGTAGTTTTTAAGGCAAAGTACAGGATCTGTGAGAGCAACGAAGTCTTTTTTGTCCAAGGAGACAGAGTGGCTTCTCCCAGCATGTAACTGTCATACTGAAACCCGAAGGATTAGCAGGAGTTAACTAGAGAAGGTTAGGGAAATGTAAGAGTGTCTCAAATTGGGTGATTCGAGTACAAAGACCTTTGGCTGGAGTGCAAAGTGCTAGTGTGGGGATGGGAGGTGGTAGAGAGAGATGAGAGGAAGGCAGGGGCTGATTCTTCAGAACCTTGAGATATTTGGTCTCTAACATGAGAATAATAGCTTTTGGAATTATCTTCACAAAAGGTCACTATGTCCTGCCAATTACCTAATATTACAGCCTTTCTCCAGGTTTCTTCCTCCCCAGATGTCTGGAGCACCCCAGAGCAATGGCCTTGGGTCTGATAGTCCTATAGTTCCCAGGTCCTTCAAGGTCTTCCAAGAACCTCAGATGCTTTCTCTTCCCCATTCCTCTCCTACCCACTTACTGTAAGACTATAGTACACTCTTTTAAAGTGTTCATGTGTGTGTGTCTCCTCAATGTTCATTCTTGCTCCTTTTCCCAAATGCCCAAATCTTACATGTCAGTCTGACTCCATTTAGTGAAGCCACTGAAATTCCTAGAACACAATATTTTTTTTAAGAACAATATACCTGTGAAACCATGTAATTTTATCTCATGTTTATTGACATATTTCATTAATAGCTTCAAAACTTCTATTACAATCTCACTTAGGTTTGGAAGACAATGCCCCGGTACCACCACCCTTACTGACAAAAACTATCCCTTACCCATTGTCTGACTGCTGAGACATCTGTTAGGGCTTCTTTCTTTAGTTGTAAGCATTCTCCAGTCTGTTAAAATAAATGAATAATCTGAAAACATGGAACATGTAAGTTATCAATCATTTATGTCATAATGGAAAGAGTTTTGGATCTTTCCCATGGGCAAGTTTCAATAGAAACAGAGGGGAAGTGCAGAAGGTCACTGAACTCCTGGCTGAGGTGGGAAGGAGAGTCGAGGAGGGTGGAGGAGGAGAGCTGGGAGACGAGGTTCACCTCTGTGAAGCTGACAACTTTTAACAAGGTCATTCTTCTTTCTTTCCTATTCCTAAATATGATTTATTTATTCTTTGGTAATTATCCATTACATTGAGTAAAATTCTGGTTAATATTTTTACTGTGGTTTCCTTTAGGCTGTAATTATTGGGAAACTTTTGATTAAAAATAGTAACTTAAAATATAAACACTTAACCCTGGCTATATAACCAACCACCCAAATAGACTTACATTTTTTTCATATTTCAGTTATTTTCCATTCAAATACAGTAAAACATTTTAAAGGAAAAATGTGCCCAAAGGCATCATTTGGCTTAATGGGAGATGCTACTCTGGAAAAAAAAAAAAAAAGCTAAATTCAACAGCAGCGTGATTCAAGATGATTGACACTTGAGAGTGGGCATCCAAGTTCCTTTCACAAGTAGTAGGGGGAGCTTGGCTTCAGCTGAACATTTACTTATCAGTGTTTGTGCTACTGGTTTCCAGGCAGCGTATAAATTACTGCTTGCTTGTGTGTGGTACAGAAAATGAAGGCAAATTCTTTCTTTTGGGAGGCAACCAGTCTATACCTGATTTATTAGATATGGTAACACTGGGCTGACTAATGAGAGGGATCAAAATGAGCCATGACAAAATGGCAGTGTGCTAAATCAGGAAGACTCTGGAATTCTGCTGTTACGTTGGGGCTTACTGCTTGACTAGAAGGAAATATGCTGTAGTGGTTAGAGGGAAATGGTCTTTCTGTTCCAATCCTGTATCTACAGCAACTTTGAAGTGGTTTGTAAAGTTATATTTCAAGCTATGCAGCCTCACACCAGGTGTTAACCCAGGGGTAACTGTTTGTTAAGTTTCCTTCAAAGGCTGTTCAGGGACTTTGAACAAGTGGAAAGTGTCTGCTGTTTGGGGATTGCCAGCATTGTTATGGGTACAAAGTGATTCATCCCCACTGAGGAACAGCCACTTCTGGCCAGAAAGAGGTAAAATGGTCACTATGTCAAAGATAGTCAAGGAACAGGAAGAAATTCAAGACAGAACTATCCAGGTGGGGGGCAGCTGGAACACGATGGTGATCCAGAAGTGCTGCTTGAGTTCTGGTTAGCAGGTGCATGGGGCGCCTAATGGAAAGTGGATAGAAGCCATGGGAACATGGGACCCCAGTTGTTTTTTTCTTTCTGTTCTTTAAAGGGAAATGTTAGCTAAAAAGAAAATATTGTCTTTCCTTTATACAGAAAGCTGACCAGTTGTCCTGTGTCACGCCAAATGGAGAAACACAACAGCTAGCATGTGTGGTAGGGGAGTGAAGTGGCGGTCAAACACAGAAGAGTTTGACCAATTACCCTTGGAAGGGAAGGTTACGTGGTATATTTGATCAAGATTGTAACAATGCCATTGTAAAAAAATTTTGCTCTTTTCCCACATACCAACCTCCTTTTTTTCAATCAAAGCCATATGGTTCAACCAGAAATTTTGCTTGATGAGCATTTGAAGAGGCCAGAAGTGAACGGCAAGGGAGTGGTCTGAGAGCCCCACCCTCTCCCACTGTCCCATTCCCTCTGCATTTTACAAAGCAGATCATCCCTGGAGGAGAATCAAATTCCTGTGAATCTCCAGTAACTTTTCCAAATTTGTTAAACATAAAAATGCCCAGGAATGAGCATAGGCCAAGCTAACCATGGGAGGAATTTAGTTTATAAATTAGGTTTGAAGCAAGAATAATAATAGTCCCTCCCTAAAACTGATCTCCACCTTATTCAGGGGCTGAAACTGTCTTTGTAAGACTAATGAAAGGCCACAAGATTAGAATTATGTAAGGGGCTGAATTCTGCTAAAATGTAGGTATAATTTCTATAATCTCTTACTGCTTAGGAGTCATGTGACCAGCAGTCACAAGATTTGTGACTTCCCCAATTGCCCCTGTAGATAACATCACTTTTGTAGAACTTAAGATTGGTCTTTTGAGATGTTTTTCAGACTGACCTCACCCAGAATCATAATGCCTCACTCAACCAGTCGAATGGCCCCCTACCCAGAGATGGATTTAGCACAGGAGGACCATTTTCCACATCCCTATCATTGTATCCTCAACCAATCAGCAATACCCATTCCCTAGTCCCTTGACCACCAAACTATCCTCGAAAATCTGTAACCTCTGAGCCTTTGGGGAGACTGATTTGAGTGGTAACTCCAGTCTCCCATGTGACCAGCCTCACATCAATTAAACACTTTTTTTTACTGCAATACTGCAGTCTCAATGAATTGATTCTGTGTGTGCAGTGGGCAGGAAGAAATCAGTGGGCAATTACATTGGGAGGGTCTTCATATCCCCAACTCCCCACCATGACTCAATGCTCTTGCTCAGTGTGCTCCAGGCTCATAAGCTCCTTCTTCCTTCCTCCCCAATTCCCCCCAGATAGCTTCCATTGGCTATAGCAAAGGTAGAATTTACCCTGTCTTCATAATTTTTAGAACTTCACATTACTGCTTAGAATAGTACAATGGAAGTCCAACCTACCATTCCTACTATTAGGGAATTCAAAGTCTAGCCAAACAACAGAAACCTCTACATCACTGTGGAACAACAACAACAACAACAACAACAACAACAACACTGATTTATGAATTCACACAACACAGCACACACATATGGTAGCTGGCAAGAGGCTACAAGGTCAGGATGAAATCTTACACAATGTATGCAGCAAAGCAGAAGAAATAATAATACATCTCCCACATCCTTAAGAAACAAACAATTACATCTTGGGACAGGCTCTCAGGTTAGCTCCAGTGGTACATTTTGCATTTGGGTTATGGGACCCATGACCTTGAAGACATCTCTGTAAAACTGGAGACTGGGCTTATCTCGCCCCTGGAAAGATCCATTTACATTCCAAAAGGTTAGAACAAGGACTTAAGCCTACTGGTTTTCAAGGAGAGTCTTACTAACAGAAAGGTTCGTAAGCATAGAATCAACTTCTAATACACCCCTCTCCCATAGTTAGAAAACATTCTGTCCCTTTTCATACCTCCAGCCCGGAGGCTGCATGTGGCTCTCCATGGCTTTCTCCTTCAATGCCACCCATTATCTGAATACTTCTATGTAGAAGCGTCTGTGGTTGGGAGTCAGGTCACACAGTGTGGTTTTCCCAAGTGACACCCTCCTTTGGCAGAAACAGCTCCTTTAGAGATCAAGAAGCCGCTTTACTGAGGGCCAGGGTCTCAGCAAGCTAGAAAGAAGAAAGCAATCTGATTAAAGGAACTTACATTAAACTCTGCTGATGGCAGCCCTCCAACCTGCCCGTTGGTGCTGTTCATGTGAGGAAGCAGGGAAAGAATCCTTTCAGTCCATTGAATCACATGTTAAATTAGCTCTAGAAACTTGGAGATTGAGAGGGAGAAGTATGTGAGATCTTCTTCCTACCACTTGCTTGAATTTAACTCCAGGCACCTACTCAGTGCATCTTAACATTTAGTATGATGCTAGTAATACCTATTTAAAATGCACGCTTCTGACCTTCTTGTCTGATTCAGCAGCTTTGAGGTGGAACCAAAAAATTCTACATTTTTGTAAAGCTCCCCAGGTGATTGTGATGCCAGTGAAACTCAGAAATACTGACCTTCTTTGTGGAGATACCTAACAGCCACACATGACCCCACCTGCCTAGCCGGGGGTTTCTAGAAGCTAGAGTAACCTGTGCCCACAGTGACCTAGGTCACTTGGAAACACTTCCCAAAGTGTATTTTGGACTCTAGGGACCTGATCCTAGGGCTCTTAATAAGTGTTAGAGGGGTGAGACAAACCAAGTTAAGCAAGTGTTTCTGCTGTAGTACTTCTTAGACTCTTTAACATATTAATATATCATGAGTCTCGAGGAGAAGTATGTAACATGTAAAATATTTCAAATTTATATGGCCACAGACTCATCTGTCAAATCTGGAGCACATCTTGGGAAAGTGTGATCTGTAGGTCATCAGAGTTTTTTGCTCTGCATAAATGGCTACTGACGTGTTTGATTTTGCTTTATAAAATAGCATTAGATACGTAAATGTATGTGGGCTGAATCATGTGTAATAAATGTCATATGCTGAGTGATACACTGTCCCGGGCACTGTAATAAGTGTCACATACATGATCTCATTTAACCTTCACAATAATCCTGTGAGATGGGCATTATTCTTCCTATTTGATGATAAACTGGGCTTGGAAGAGCTGAAGTAACTTATCCAAGATCACACAATTAATACAGAACAAAGCCGAGATTCAAATCCAGGACTTAAATCCAGCTCAATCTGTCTTCTAAACCCACACCTTTCTCCCTATACTCCACTGCCTCCTTAGCAACACTGTAATAATTACAGTGGAATCTCACCTTCTGTGGGGTTAGGTTCTAAAGTTAAGTGCAATCAAAGATAAATGAGAAAAGACCTAAGTCACTGATAAAGTATAGTTATACAAGGTTTTGGGCATATAACCCTGCCCAGTATTATGTTTGTATAAATATATAACATGTATGTGTACATAAAATATAATTTTACAGCATTTTTATTTTTAAGTATGCAAAAGAGACAGAACTTGTATAGTTGAATTCATGTAAGTTAAACACCTATATAATGTCTCTCTACATATGCATACCTCTAAATATGTGCCAGACTAACAGTGGTAACATCTTACAGAATTTTACAGCTTTAGAACCAGCAGGAACTTCTATGGTCAAGTGGTTTGTATTACATTTGACAGAACTGAGGCACACAGAGGCTGTCCCTTGCCCAACTTCACTGTCTACCTTCATTTCCAACAAGTTTGGGAGCCTGTGTATCTGCTCATAGCTAGGAGGAAAGCAGAGGAAGGCCAGTTCTCCTTACTTTTTGCCCATTGTTACACAGCTAACCCAATAAATGAAATTCAGGTTGCTGCGAGATGGTCAAGGTCTGGGATTTACATCTTGCAGGGACGCAGCCCCTTTCTGAGGCTGACAGCTGCGGCTTCAGCTCTACCTGGGAGCTGTCTCCCCATGGGGAGGACGTTTATAGCCAGCTGTCTCTTCTGTGTGCAGTTCCTGGGATTGTTCAAACTGGTAGAAGCTGAGAGAGCCCAAGGGAAGGAAATCTGCAGCTATAGAGCCCAACATGCTTTCTACACACACACACACACACACACACACACACACACACACACACACACACGCACACTTGCCCTCATTCCTTTAAAACAGAAAGAAGCCAGAACATGTGATGTAGTCAGCTGTTTGGATTCTTAGAGAGTGTTGAATCTAAGCAATGGGGCAAGTTGTGGGGAGGGCACTCCTGGTTTTGGTGGGGAGGGCAGGGACCGTTCCAGCTCTAATCAGAAGGGTAAAGGAAGTAAGCAGACCAGCAGACCTGGCCTCTGGCATGTGAAACAGCATCCACATCGCCCCCTCCCAATGTCCTATCAGATCTCATTAACCCTCTCCCATCCCATTATCCAGGCACCGCCTCCTTACCTGCCTTGATTATCTCAGCTAACTGCCAGGGTTGATAAGAAATCCCTCCCAAAATGTCAGAGGGCTAATAGATTAAGGGGTTCCCTCTCAGGGACTTAGCCCTTTGGGTGGGCTGTCTCACAGTTCCCAATTCTTCCAGAGCCAAAGGAAAGCCAAAGAAGCATGAAGTGTGGGAAGATTAGAGAGACATTTCTGGGCCACAAGCATGTGTGATGCTTTTCAGATCAAAACCCAGGTCATGCCTGCTATATTTGTAGGAAGGAGGGAGTCTGGGTGGGAAATTAGAGAAAGTACAGCACCCTCTGGCCTGAAGAACCTTTCATCCCTGAACTTGGAGGTGTGAGCTGCCCTTCTGAAACACAGATCCTTATCTACTCTCATTTTCCAAATGTTTGCGTTTCTATACGAAAATCTTTAGCTTTGCAGAACCACTGGGCCCCAAAAATATGGCCCAGGTCACTCAAACCTATATATTTTCTTCCTATGATTTTCCTTAGGGCAATTCATGTCGTCACAGGTGGCCCCACCCCCAGAGCCTTCACCTGAGGGTACTGCAAGCGAACTCTCCAGTTATTTCTTAAAAATAAAATGATCCTTAAATGATGTGATGGTCAGCCACGATACTAGAGTTGTTAGCTTTCATTGGACAAAGGAACTTTCAGTGTCAGCTCTGCTGATTTCATTTAGCTGGGATGGCGACCTACATCTCACAGCATGAAGGGCCCAAAGTGATGTTTCAGGGAGAATAATCCAGAGAACTATGGGTATCAAACTTCCTGGGAACTTGTTAGCATGCCAATCCTGGGCTGAGAATATGATTTTAAGGGGACCGATGCTTCAGAATTTCTGGAATAAAGGTTGCTGTTTCTCTTGAAGTGGCAACTCCATTTGAGTGGCAGGTTATCCTGTCTGTCATTACCTGGAGAACTATACAGAAATCTCCTGCATAGCCAGAAGTCTAACCACACTCAGGGCATTGGGGAAATAGGGTGCTGGCAAGCCTGTGTTCATTTAGGTGGATCCCTGCCCTGTGCTGCCAGAGGAAGTGCCCTGTGCTGCAATGAGGAAGTTCACTGCTGTGTTTCTCAGGAGCTCAGACCAACGTGAAAATAGGACTCCGGAACTCAGAGCCTATGTTTCATCCACAAGATCATCCAATCCGCAAAAAGCACCAGAACTTGCCTGAGATCCTGAGATCCAGAGATCCTAGCCAGCTGGGCATACACCAAGCTCTAGCATAGACGAGAGGCTGGCTACTTAGCCAGGGCACATGGCCCTGGGGCAGCCTGGCCCTGGACAGGTGGAGCCAACCTCTCCAAGAACTTGCCAACACTCCACCATTCTCTGTTTACCCCAGAGGCATATTAGGCTGACTGAGACATCCCTGAGAACACAGGGGAGCTTCAACTACCTAAGACTGAAATAATCATGATCATCATCATTATCTAGTTCTAAACAAAATCATTCTAGGAGGCAGCATGCCCTTGTGCAAATTTCAAATCTGATACAAATAGCTGTGTGGCATTAGGCAGATTCCCTCTCTGTGCTTACAGTTCCTCATCTGTAAAACAGGGGTACTAAAAGAACCCTAATCCCAGCACTTTGGGAGGCTGAGGCAGGCGAATCACGAGGTCAAGAGATTGAGACCATCCTGGCCAACGTGGTGAAACCCCATCTCTACTAAAAATACAAAAATTAGCTGGGTGTGCTGGTGCACAACTGAAGTTCCCAGCTACTCTGGAGGCTGAGGCAGGAGAATCGCTCAAATCCAGGAGGCTGAGGTTGCAGTGAGCCGAGATGGTGCCACTGCACTCCAACCTGGTGACAGAGCAAGACTGTCTCACAAAAAAAAAAAAAAAAAAACCCGTCTCTTAGGATCGTTGTAAGAATTAAACGAGACAATGTGTGCCAAATTCTTAACAGACTCTAGCATGTAATAAGTGCTCTGTAGACAGGGCCACAGCTAGCATGCAGGGTGTCTTTGTGGTAATTGGGAAAAGGTATGCTCATTTGGGTAGACACATTACAAAAAGATGTACCTTCCTCTGGGCTGGTGCCTGGGCTCCTGTCTTGGGGAGCACAGTTCCTCCCTCACCTGGCCATCCTTTGGCTGGTCACAACCCACAAAACTGAAGGTGGAGGCTCTGTCCATACATGTCTGCTATGGTAATTACACGTGAGGGTGGGGAGGAGACTCACAGTGCTGCGCCCTCCAACCCAGGATTCTTCCCCTCCAGCAGTTCTTGCAGACAGACAACTGCACGAACTCTGAAGCTGTGGAGGCCCCGTCGGAGAAGGCAGCTGACTCTCGCTTCTCAGAACCACAGCGCTGGGCTCAGCAGACTCTCACCTTGATAAACTTCTGTGAGAACAAAGGCATGGGGACACACTGAATTTTCCTTTTCTGAGCTTGAAACCAGCTGATCATGCTTCCTGTTTCTCTAAGGGCTTCCCTGACATAGGTGACTTGCTTCTTTCAAATTTGGTCATCGCCCTCTTGCCTTCCTGTGTGAGTCAGCGTGGCTGCCCTCGTGCACGCCAGGCTTCTGTCTGCGCTCCAGGGCCTGTTTCCTGGCCTCCCCAGGTAATTCCCCTCGGCCAAGGGTGAGTGTCCCCGCCCACGTCCCCTCTGCCTGGAGACGTGCTTGCTCTGGGGACATGAGTCACAGCAGCTCACCCGTCCTCTGCATCTGAAACTATTATTGGAATGCCTCTGCACACAGCACACACCTGCTTCCCAGATTTCACAGGCTCCTGCTCCGCGATCTGCAAACCACATTGCTCAGCCCGAGATTCCATGCGGGTGATCACGGGGTGGTTTCCTCTAAGCTGGAACTTTTCTAAGAAAGTAGGTTTCTTTAAGCCAGGCATTCTGCATTCTTCAAAAAGCATCAAGCACAGAGAGTGCCTAGCAATGTGCCTGCCTTTATGGGTAATGCAAAATAAATCGTTCTGGAGCTCTGAGAATGACACAGTAAAAAGAAGAGCAAAAATGAGTGTCTCAAATAAGAGATGTGGCAGGACAGATCCTTACGGGCCTGGAGAGTTAAACCCACAAAAAGAAAGAGAAGAAAGATGCAGAAGATCGGGAGGAGGACCATGAGAGAGAACCAGCAGAGGCAAGCAGCTTGAACAAAGATGCAGAGGAGAATGTGTTGGACTTGTTTACAAGAACCTAAATACTGAACCAAATTTGAATTTTGAAGATCCTTCTCTTTTTTCATGCTAGGATGATTAATAGCCTTTAGTGTGAATTTATTGTGAGGTGATAAAACTGCTATGAATGCTAAAAGGTATACAATTCTTGTCTTCCTTTTACAGAGAAGGAAACTGAGGCACAAAGAGGCGAAGTCCCGAGCTCACAGTCATGCAACCAGCAGGTGGCGAAACACACCCCCAAGCTGCCTGCCTCCTAAGCATCAAGCTTTGTGGCCTAGGGTGAGAACAGATTTTTGTTTTTCTGGGTGGATATTTGAAAGGGAGGAGCTAAGGTTAGTTCATTGATCCTTCTTCTCTGAAATCCTGATGCAGACTTCACTTCTTCCATGCTAGATCTTGGTGTATGCCCAGCTGGCTAGGATCTCAGGATCTCAGGCAAGCTCTGGTGCTTGTTGCAGGTTGGATAATCTTGTGGACAAAACAGGCTCTAAGTTCAGGAGTCTTATTTTTATGTTGGTCTGAGTTCCTGAGAGAGACAGCAATTAACTTCCTCATTTTCCCTATTTGACATGGACATGAGAACATGAGAATAACAAAGAAACAACCTTTTGCTAGACCATTTTCAGATCCTATGAAAGAAAACGATAAAGGGAAAAGTAGCTCCTGGGGCAAAGTGGAAGCAGATCCTGGAAGAAGTTGCAGGTGGGCTTATGTCAGAGGCGCCCTAGAGTAGGTATGTGAAAAGAGAGCAAGGGAGAGATGGGAAGTCCCTCCTCAAGCAGCAAACACACGTGGGATCCCAGCATGGCTGGAAGCCACCTCTATCACTTCCTTCCCCCAGTGACAATGAAACGGAAAGGGAGCTTGTGACTCACTTCACCTGGCAAGGTGCTGCTGGAACAGGATACTTCCGTGAATCAAGGCTGATTGATCCTATTCTATTTCTAGACACATGTCTTACCCAGAGTTCCTCTCCTTCCGAAAGAGTGGCCACCTCATAAAAGTGAAGAGAACACTGTCGGTGGGAATGTAAAACGGTGCAGCCACCGTGGAAAAACTTATGGCATTCCTCAAAAAATTGAAGAGAATTACCATATGACCCAGCATTTTCACTTATAGGTATAATATATACCCCAAACAGTAGAAAGCAGGGACTCCAACTGATATCTGTACACCACGTTTATAGAGCATTATTCACAGTAATCAAAAAAATGGAAGCGACCCCAGTGTCCATTGATAGACGAGTAGATAAAATGTGAAGTACACATGCAATGGAATACTATCCAGACTTAACAAGGAAGGACATTCTGACATATGCTTCGACATAGATGAACCTTGAGGACACCATACTAAGTAAAGTAGGCCAGTCACAAAAAGACAAACACTGTATGATTCCACTTACGTGAGATATCAAGAACAGTCAGAGTCTGATATGGCAGGGGGAAATGAGGAGTTGTTTAATGGGTACAGAGTTTCAGTTTTTTAAGATGCAAGAGTTTTGCAGATTATATTGCTTGTACAACAATGTGAGTATACTTAACACTCACATTGTTAATGGTACTCTTCATACTTAAGATGGTAACAGTTATGTTGTGTGTATTTTATCACAAGGAAACAATTTAAAAATTTTAAGGAACGAAGAGAAAGCTTGCTTTTGTCTGCTACTTGAATGTAACTATTTGAATTGACTTGAAGGAGGACGCTCTGGGCCAATGTGAAGCTAAGGCGTAGACACAGGAGAAAGGGAGACTGAAGACATTGTTTCTTGACCTGAAAGTGAAAACATGGTTCTGCAGTCATGACAAGCTGAAGGAGACTGGAAGCTTCCCTGAGAGTGAGCTACTGAGCTCTTGCCCCACTCCTTCTCAGAGTTCTCCAGGGACACACATCTCAGTGTCCCCACCTCCCGCTACCACCCCAGCAAAGCCTGGTCCAAACAGTGAAAGATGCCTGTTTGAACTTAGGACAATCAGATCGTTTGCTTATTGGACACTTACTAAGGGTTTCACTGGCATCTTCTGGTTGTAATTCTCTTAGCCTCCTTTAAGGAAGGTCTTATTACGTTGTGCATTTTTTAGATGAGGAAACTGAAGCATAGAGAGCCTTTGAAATCCATCTGATTTAAAAGCTGCTACTTTAATAGATCTCTAATAAATTGACATCTTCTGTGATTGCATTAAATAATTTTTAACAAAAATGAAACAATTCAGTTAAAGATAATATCCAAATGACCAGCTTTACTGGGGTGAAGGAAGGCTAAAAGGAATGAGAAGGTTGCCATTAGGGAATGAGCATGTGTGTGTGTGATGAAGAAAGGTAAAGAGGTATTCATAGTCTAAAGCATTTGGTTGAATTCTTGCAGTTTAGAAACATTAGGTTAGAAGTAGTTAACCAAGTGGAAAAAAAAAAAAAAAGATACTCAAAATCACTGCGCTGCTTTTGGCAAAGTAATATAACCTGGTAAGTGTACTAAAAATTACCCATTTGGTGAAGGGTAGAGATGCCCCTAAAATAGAATTCCCATTGGCACCTCTTCTTTATGTTCTGCCTTTCAGCTTTATGTACCTCCAAGTTACAGGAAAAGCTCTGCTGAGCACTCTTGGATATTTTGGACTTTTCAACGTGACCTCTCTAAAAACCTCCCCCACCAGTCCCTCCAAAATGCACAACCGGAAACTGTTTCTGCCACAATAGTTCCAAGTTCACATTAGTTACATTTTTGTTTTGGTTTGTTTTTTGAAAAGGGATTTCGTTCTTGCTGCCCAGACTGGAGTGCAGTAGCGTGATCTTGGCTCACTGCAACCTCCACCTCCTGGGTTCAAGCAATTCTCCTGCCTCAGTCTCCTGAGTAGCTAGGATTACAGGTGCTTACCACCAGACCTGGTTAATTTTGTATTTTCGGTAGAGACGGGGTTTCTCTATGTTGGTCAGGCTGGTCTTGAACTCCCAACCTCAGGTGTCAGTTACATTTTTGGAGGATGAAATGGTATGCTTTGGGTTTAAAAATCCATTATAAAGGAGATGCTTTTCCAACTTTAAAAAAGAAGAACCTGGAATTTTTCAATCCAAAATGGACTGACATTCTTTCAGTTCATCTTGTTTAAATAATGAACATCAGAAGCCTATTGTTTAATATTTTTCAAAAAATAGTAGCATTCTTGAGGTTTGTTTTTGTTTTCAACAGATCTACTTCATGCTCCAAATATTCATGGACCTTCCCAGGACCTCAACAAAACAAAACCGTGAAGAAAAACCTTGACATGAACCCCAAATAAAACCAGTCAGCAATAGTTTAAGCTAAATTTTGAAACAAATCCATATGGGTTCCTCCCCATAAATCCACCAGTAAATTGTGCAGAATCAGAACTGAAGCCATGCCATTTCTTAAAGTATTGAATTAGAATAAATGAGAACATCTAAATATTTTCCAAACTCATACTCCAGTTGTAATATTCAAGTTCTTAGTTTCTCTCTGTTCATGTTCAACATGAAATACTCCCATTAGTCAGTAGCAAGAGCTGCAACATTTCCACAGGTACTAAAGGATGTGATCAGAGCAGGGAAGATGGCCAACAAGAGGATGCCACTCTAGCGGGTGCCCATCCAAGTCATAACCCATGAATGCTGTGGCTTTATTATCTTGGACAATGGAAAGCTGATCCTGTAATTGGATGATCACCCCTGCTTGTATGCTTTCGAGTAGGGACATACGACAAAAGGAGCTACTGGTTTTGTGATGACGGGTTTCTGGGTAAATCCTAGAAGCAGAAGCAGCTTTTAAGCATTGCAGAGCAAGAGTCAAATGGTTCTGAAAAAAGTTTCAACTCTGGGATGAGTTCTCCCCGCTTCTTTCACTCCTCCACCCTCTCAATCCAAGAACTAGTGAGCAGAGAAGGTAAAGCTGTTTCCTCCAGAAAGATGATCCATATTTTAAACAGCTCTGCGAATGGGGCACTAAGACTCGGAAGATCTGGTTTTCAGTTCGCATTCTACCTTTAACTGGTCTTGAAAATGTGGGCAACTCAATTATCTCGTGGAGTCAGTATCTGCATCTGTACAGTGGGGATATGAATACCTGTCTTACCTACATGGAGCTGTAAGAGCCACAGAATGCCAGCTGGCATGATGTTATTATGTGTATCACCTTGGTTATTTTGAAACATGGTTGATGGATTAGCCTCTCTGTTTCCTCTCGAGCTTTCCTGCAGAGATGTCTTTTAAACCAAGCATCGCTCTCCCAGTCAGAGACAGGACAGATTAGATAGACAAATGAGAAAGAGAAGTCGGGGGTGGGATGGGAGCACAGCCAATGCAGAAACGGTGATGTGTATTCCTTTAGAAAGGTGAGCAGAGACATTTTCAGGATTTCAGGGGGCAGGATGGAGACACAGGGGAAGCTTCTGGGTCAGTTCTTGATGGTGTGGGGCTTCAGTATTTAGATACACATTCTCTAAGTCGAAAAGAACATATTGGAGGTTTCCATTCCTTTGGATTTTCCAGGCTTCTAATGACCTCCACCATTCCCAGTCCAGAGGAGGTCATGGGATGATCGAAAGTGGGAGCAACCGGGGCATGAGAGACCCCTAGCTGTGCCTTTTCATTTCGCAGTGGAGGGGCTGAGACTTGGAAGGAGGGCCTGACTTAGGGAACACAGATTTCAGCTCAGAAAATCTAACAGGAATGTCTCTTCTGTGACTGCTAGACAGGCTTGAAACTACTTAGCAATATTCTGATTTTTTTTCTCTCCAATATCAATAAGGGTAGGCACCCAGTGCCTTCTGGCAGCACCCCCGAAGCTGCCACCGACAGGCCTCCCTTCCCTGCCGGCCGGCCCATGGGCACCCCGTGAGGTGAGTCGGGGCTGCCTCCCAGGAGAGGAAGGCCGAGCCACCAGGCAGCCCGGATTTGTCTGTATGAAGGAGCAGAAATTGATGGCCCACACAGCTCGAGTTTTTGCATTTGTGAGAGAAAAATGTCTTCATAAAAACAACAAGAACAGCAGCCTGAAATAAAAGAAACAAATGGCATCCAGTCAGAGCCCAGGTTCCCTTCCAAGCCCACACCCACACACACCCCTGCGCCTGTTTCATGCTTCTCAGCGTGAGGCGCTGCCTCCAGTGCTTCTTTCAAAATACTGCTGAGAAAGTGCCACAGGACTGTCACGTCGGCAAACTGTTCAGTCCCCCGTTTGAAGCTGAGAGGCTCCAGGCAGGAACTGGGTTCAATTAGACATGATGGAAAAAGGGAGAGGCCCTCCCTGGCCCTGGCTCAGGCCCCTG